ACTTTTCTCCAAACTCTTCCCATGATTTCTGTTTTGCTTTAAGCACAATATTTTTGGTCTCTGTTCTGAGTGCCACATATTGTTCATATTTTTCTATTTCTTCAGCTGTGTTCCTGGCTGCCAGGTATTGCTTCCATGCTCTTTTCTTTTCTCCTATTTTCAATTTGACTTCTTCTGTCCACCAAGGTGTCCTGTGTCCCCGCCTTCCACTTGGGACTTCACCACATGCTTCTACTGCAGCTGCTGTGAGGATATTCTTGAATCTGCACCAGAGGGTTTCAGTGTCCTCTGATGGTTCTTCTTCAGTTCCTATTGCTTTCACTATAAGCTCCTGGTATCTAGCCTTAATATCTGGCTCTCTTAGCTTGTATGCTTTAATCCTCATCCCTTCTTGGTTGTTTGGTTTCTTGCATGGTTGTCGGTGTTGCCTTGTTGGAGCAGTTCTTTCAGTTGTTCTCTTTATTGTGACCAGATAGTGGTCACTTCCAATCTCTGGTCCTCTCATGACTCTGGCATCTCTCACAAACTTGAATGAACTTTTCCTAACTATGGCGTAGTCAATGATGGACTTTTCATTCTTTGAAGGTTCACATCTTGTGTATGCATGTATACGCTTGTGGGGGAATTTTGTGTTTGTAATGACAAGGTTCTGTTCCCTGCAGAATCTGAGAAGTCGCTTGCCATTATCATTCAAAACATCTTCACCATATCTCCCGATCACTCCGCCCCATCTAGAGTGATCATTTCCTACTCTGGCATTTAGATCTCCTAGGAGGATAATTTCATTGTGACAGTCATCTATGGTCCTTTGGAGCAGTTCAAAGAATTCTTCTTTAACATCTACTCGCTCATCTTCATTTGGCCCGTACACAATGACAAAATTGACAATTTTATCTTCTTCTTTCAGATATAACACCATTATTCGCTCTGAGATGAATTTCCATCCCTTGATGTTACTAACTTGATTCCTGGCCACAATACAGCCAACACCTCCCTTGGCTCTCTCCGTCATAGGGACACCACTGTAGAGCAGCATACTTCCATCGTGATCTGTGATTCCTTGCCCCTTTTTCTTGGTTTCAGTCAGAGCCAAGACTCCTAATTTTGCTTTCCTCATCTAACTCGTTTTCCTTTCCGTTAATGCCTCTTATATTCCATGTTCCATAAATCGTAGTCCGTAAGCCATGCCAGTTCGTCGCCGTTAAGATCCGTCCGGTTTTCTCTCTGTAGTTACTTGTAATCGTGGTTTAAGGCAAACAGGTGATTGGCCTGTTGTGCCTTTGCATGGTGGAGGGGCTGCCTCCTTGCGGCCTCCATGCAGGCAGTCTGGCTGATTCACGGTCACCCACTACTTCCGGAGACGCATGAAGCACTCAGGTTCAGCCAGACCCTCCTCCTTTTACAGCCGGGCTTGGGACCGGTCTTAGCGGAGTTCTTAAAGTAGCAGCAGCAGTAATAGTTGTGGTTGGGCTGTTACACCATAGTGCTCTCATGTGAAGACCGCCGGTAAGGTTATGGCGTTCTTCTGTCGGGAAGTGAAATTATACATCCTAACCTGACCAGTCTGTGGCGACAGCACTAGCCATGCGGAACCAAATCTTCTGGCTCACGACTCTCTGTCTACTCCGATGGTAACACAGATAGCAGTGACATTATTTTAGCTACTGTGGTGGTGGTCGTGGTAGTAGTTGTACTGGTACTTGAAGGATGATGTGGTAAATATTACACTAGCCCCATTCACTACCTATTACAATACCTGCTCCCCATTTTAGTCCAGATGGACAGGGATGTCAATGTCAGTTACAGCAACAACAAAATATCGCCAGGTAGTGATTTTCAAAATCTTCGAAGAGGGAAGAACAGTAGTTGGTGGAAGAGGGGAGGGGGTAATGACTTAAATTTAAGAGAACTTAAAGAGCTTTACACGTGATTTTCAAGTTCTCATTACCTAATTTGTTTATATTTTACTAACGCTACCTCCGCTTTTCTATTTTTTACTACTTACTTTGTTATTCACAAGTACAGTTTTAGCTTTACTTCCGTCCCCTATAAAATACAAACAGCTTTAGCATGTGATAACCAAATAACCATTTTTGTTACTGTGCTAATAACACCATTTAAACGACCACTAATATAAAGACACAATTATAAGGTGCGTGTTCTAAAGTTGGAAAACCAGACTATCTCTATATCTGTGCAGAGAATGATTGCGACATTAACTATATTAGACACTTGCGATTTCCATTGTCTTTCTTTTCCAAATACCTTTGATGAGGGAGAGAGTAGTAGGTGGATTTAGTTGTGGTGGTGGGTAAGGGGGATCAAAGACTATCTCTATATCTGAGCAGACAATGATTGTATTAGACACGTGCGATTTCTATTTTCTTTCATTTCCATTTAACCAAACTATGCCACAGCAACGCGTGGCCGGGTACAGCTAGTATATATATAAATATGTATGTGTGATAGTGTGTGTGTGTGTATGTATATATTATATATGTGTGTGTGTATATATGTATGTGTGTGTATGTATATATTATATATATATGTGTGTGTGTATGTGTGTATATATATGTATGTGTGTGTATGTACGTATAATAAACATCATCCTTTCTCGAAAGCTGAAATATTTTGGTCATATCAAGCACCACGACGGATTGGAAAAAATTATAGCAGAAGGCATGGTACCAGGAAGGAGGGGCAGGGGCCGACCGATACGAAGATGGGCACAGGATATAAGTGACTCCTTGAGTGTGAAAGTTCATGAGGCGGGAGAACTGGCAAGAGACCGAGTTTCTTTCAGGCAGACTGTGATAAGAGCAACGTTCTGCAAAGGACCTGCTACATGATGATGATGATGTGTATGTATGTATGTATACACATACACACACACACACATATATTATATACATACACACATACATACATATACACACACATATATATATAATATATACATACACACATACACACACACACATATATATATATATAATATACATACACACATACATACATATACACACACACACATATATATATATATATATATATATATATACACACACACACACACACACACACACATATATATGCATGGATATTCTAGTAATAATTTCCCCAGGAATAGTCATTGAATGCGTTTTATCCAATGGAAAGGGCCTTTCCTTACTAGTTGATTCACTGGAGTCTGTTTAGTTCTCTCATAAAGCTATTTTAGCAGTTCTCTAACGCCATACACTTCCTTCTATTCTATGCGGGCACCAGTTAATTAATGTTTGTAGTTTAATTATTTTTGTTATTCTCTGTGTTGCGGCTCTGTACAACAATACTGATTTGGCATAAGAGTTGAATATTTTAAGTTTGACCTGTTACTTTATTATTTACATTTTTTCGGAGGCTGTGTTCACCCTAGAGCTATATTCTCATAAAGAAAGTTTCACCCTCTTAGGATGTGAACCCAGACTGTCGTATCTCAACTGCCACTAACAGTGGGAGGCTAAATATTTGTGTTCTTGTAAACACATAATTAGACTCTAGATAAGAGCGGTTCAGCTAAATGTTTGTGAACATGTAAACACATAATTAGACTCCAGATAAGAGCGGTTCAGCTAAATGTTTGTGAACATGTAAACACATAATTAGACTCCAGATAAGAGCGGTTCAGCTAAATGTTTGTGAACATGTAAACACATAATTAGACTCCAGATGAGAGCGGTTCAGCTAAATGTTTGTGAACATGTAAACACATAATTAGACTCCAGATGAGAGCGGTTCAGCTTAATGTTTGTGAACATGTAGACACATAATTAGACTCAAGAGAAGAGCCGTTCAACTAAATGTTACTAGGGGCCAAAATGTTGGAAAATGAGAATTGTCATGGGCCAGAGGCCATAACGAGCTCCAGCATAGAAAAATAAATACAGTACAATTGGTGTCCAGGTGTCACTTGCTATGCCTCTATTGGTCAGATTTAGCTATCAGGCCTCCAGTTGAATAGTCCTGTTCTTGAGGGTCTGGGAAAAAATCCCTAAATCACTCTTTCAATGATGTCTGTTCTATTTTACTTTGATTGATGAACTTGCTGTTTATCTGCAGGTGCTGATCACATCAGAGGATATCCAGAAACAAGAACAGAAGGTTCAGCAAGCCCGGCATCGACTTCAAGATTTAATACAAGCTTTGGAATAGTGTCTGAACTAGTTATTTTGAATGATAAGACGTTATCTGCAGCAGATGTACATGTGTCATCATAGTACAACAGATACACTTCTCTGTTTTTCTCTGATTTTAATGTGTAAGCTTGAATACTTGTGAATACAACAAACACCTTTTGAGGCCTGTATATGAGAAACTGCTTCTGGCACTGGAAAGTTTAGTTTTTTTTTTAAATTGGTGGTTTACCATCTTTCTAGGCTGTAGAGTTATATTGTACTATAGGGAGGCATGGGAATCACCGCCCATGGTGATGGTGAGTGTGACCAGCAAGACCTGCTCATGTTAAGAAAGTAAAGTAAGTAGCCTTTTCCCGACTTTCAGTATTGGGCAGATTGGGCTAGGCCTATATTATGCAGACCAATCTGCACTGGGGGATGATGTGGTCAGCATCAAGCCGACCGTCTTTACTTTGACATGAGAGCCTAGGTCATGTATTTAAAAAAGTTCAGCTCCGTCAGGATCCAAACCCACAACCTTCCAATCCGCAGGTGAGCGTTTAGCCGCCAGACCACCGCAGCTCTCTTGTTAATTAAGTGCATGGGGTTTCAGTATTGTTGTTGCTATCTCATGTTTTTGACAGGAAGCAGTACAAACAGATAAACAAAAATGGATTTTTAATGTGCACATAACGGCATAGATTGCATTTAAATTTAATGCATTGCAATTGTGCAGGAAGTGTTTCGCAATAAATACACATCTTAAAATTCTATGTTTCAGGTTTTCATATATATATATATTTGATTGTTATCACACAGGCATGCAAGATCATTTGACAGAAGTTTTTGTGTGTGTGAATCTCAGCATTGAATTAGGGTAATATATATAGGCTACACATTCAGCATAATGTTCCATGCATTTCTTAGATCTGCAGAGGAAGGCATAAAGTGGCATCCAAAATTGTTGTTGACCCCACTGCTGCTTATTTATCGGCTCCTCACAGCCAACTGCCATTTTTATGAAGGTGTAGATCCTCTGCAAAAGTTACATGAGGTTTTTCCCTGCTACTGCCATTGATGAGGTAACTGGTAGTTTAGATGGAGGCATCTAATTTAAAATAGTTTTGCCAGTCGTTCTCCACCCATGCTTTCATTAGATCTTTTCATCTTCAAGGGACCTTTTCCCCAGAGCATGTCATTCTTATTTGGAAATCAATGAATGCCCCTTCATCATTTGTCCGAGTGACATAAATGCATTGTGCCTTTTGGTCAATGCCTTCGACATATTCAAGCATTCCTGTCTGGGTTAGCTTTTCCGGTAAGTTTCTTGGGACATTTGTCACCTCATATATGTCATTTCCTGATCCACAGGTGTTGTCCTTAAAGTACCCACCCAGGGCAGCTGCATGCAATTTGGTCCATCCTTCTTGCATGCCTTACCATTCAAGGAAACTTAACGAATGCAGAGCTTGATAATGGCATTCTGGTACTAGACTCACCCCAGGAATAATCGTGTCCTGCAAATTACTGCTTAACCTGACATCTGTATATTGAGCTTTCCAACCGTTTCTTCTGCGTCCTTTGAGATCCTCAGGGAACAGTCTGCAGTTCTGAGACTTTGATTTCCGGCACAATTGACTATCTTGCTTCTTCAGCATGTTAGACTGCTCTGTTTGGCAGTGACACCTTTCACATAGATGCCTCAGGACGATTTTGCAGCATTTATGGCATGTCAGTATAGTCATTTTACACTTTGACAAGTGTGGTCAGTGATAGTGGGTGTTTTAATATTTTGTGCCATAAACTAGGATCTTTGAATACCTTTGCTGTCATATAGTAGGGCACGCAACAGTAACTTAAGCACTATGCAGTAGGAGTCTCAGCTTGGTATAGACTGATTAAAAGCCATTATCTGTAGTGCATGACGAGGACATCTTGTATGAGAATCTGTGTTGGTGTGTTGTCCTCTCAAGTGAGGTATGGAGTATCTTCTTATACACATCACAACGCAACAGCCTTTACTTTCCCTCAGGTCTTTGTCCAAAATCACTGTGCTACAGTCAGTGTATACAACTTCCTGGCTAGGTTATGGCCCTATTTTTGTGTGTGAAGAATACACCCATGGCCCCTTACAAAATTTAAAACACAACTAATGTATGGGTTGAAATTGGATGTATTGTGCTAAAAAAAGGCAGTTATTTCATCCTTGCCTAAAACCTTAACAAAGCATGCTAACTGCTTTTTTAAGAGCAAACACAGAAGGAATGCAGCTGTTTTAAATCCATTAATCGTCTTTGTGAACCTGAAAACTGTCTTGTATGATGCTTATGTCTGGTTTCTGGTTGATGGAAATATCAAGGAGACTTTAACTTTCTTGTCACCAATAGTCAGTTGTATATCTTTCTGTCGACTGTCACTGCTATCAATATGGCTCTTGCTGTTGCAACAGACTGCAGGTTAGAATGCTTTGGCAGAAAAACCTCCATCACTTTACTAGGGGTCGAATTCTGGTTTCTCAGTTCTCCCGACCCAAATGACTAGGAAGACAGGTCTGTTAAGTTCGTGGACTGATGGTTTTCCTTTCTTTAGTTTTGGTACAAAACTGCTGATAGAGATGTCTGGCGATCTCTCTGGCAAACCTCTACACCCCAAGATAGAAGAGGAGCGACTAAGTAAGTAAGTAAGTAGTTTTGGTACAATGGTAGCTGTCCCTCTTTCCTGTTGAACTGATGATTATCTCCTTTTACCTTTGGACATAGCTTGTACTGGAAGCTTTAGTAGTGCAGCGGCCATAATTTTTACCTGTCAATGAAGTAGTCGTATGTTTGAATCCCACTTGAGCATAGGGATTAAACAAAATATCTTAGAAAAATTTGTCTGTCAACCTATTAAATATTATCTTCTGTCCTTCACTAGTTGCTGACATTTGAACTTTTCTTGTTCCTTAATGGGCGTTGTTTTCCTGCCCCCAGTTATAATCCACATTCTGTGATTTTTGGACTTATTTTGATAGCCTAGTCAGCGTCTGTCGCTTAGGCATTGCGAATACGCTTTGCAATGTAAGGGTACAGGCTTTGATCCCAGCTGTGGACGTATGGTTTTGCACTGGGTTCGACCGTGATAGCTGACCATTTAGAAAGCACTGGCAAACTTTAAACGTAAAATTTGCCTAGAAAAACCACAACAGCCAAATAATGCAGACGTTGGTTCTGCAACGTTCTGTAAACGGCACGCAACTAACTTGTTTTGATAAAGTTTGAACTAAGTTACTCTTTGCCCATTCTGCAGTCTCATATTCAAGATGAACACAAAAACATAAATATTTTGTGTGTTGTGAGCAGTAGACATAAATGGGTGGTTGAGCAACATAAAATTACAGGAAATATTTCACCTCGAAGGACACTGTCCACACTGTGGGTTCTTCTTCTTTTTCTTCTATATCAATTGCAAGTCCTTCATGGTTCCCCACAATGTGCTCTTTACTCTCGAGGCCAGGTTTCTTATCCTAGTTGTGTACTTACTGTATTAGGTAGGGCTGGAGAATGTGCTCAGGCATTTGTGGTCCCATCTGACATGAACACTAGACTGAGTTCCGATATTAGCCTACAAATTGCTGTGTCTAAACTTTTATGCATGACTTTTTGCCAGAATACAAATACTTTTTTTGTAATGTCAGAAACAGTTTTGTTTTGCTTGCTTGCTCCACGTGGTGTGTGTGACCATGTTGACATACATTCCTGTTGATAAATATAAAACATAAATATGATTTACACTACTCTAGCCACATAAATCATACTCTTTTCACAAAGCTCCATGAACCTGTTGTCATGCAATATTTTTGTGTTTTTACTGTGGCTTAACAAACTACTTTGTCTTTTACCTTCATCTGAACTACTTTACACTCAAATTGTTGGTTCTTGACTTATGTTATCTTACACTAAACAACATTTACACTCAAATTCTTGATTATATAAGTTAACGCACTGTCTCTGAACAACATTTACACTCAACACTTGTTTACATATAGTCAGAGCATCTACACTCAAACGTATCTCTACATATCATACTCTGAACATCAGCCCTCAAAATGTTCTTTAGGTCTCAGACGGTTGTTGCACTTCTAGTTAGCTACTTCTGTCTTGTCAGTCTCTGGTGTTTGGGGGTTATATAACTCCAAAATACCTGGTTCGGTTGAGCTGCATGTGATATGGCAGCATACCAATGTGCATTGATTTTAACAGAAGTATGGGTTGTTGACCATTCAAAACAATGGCAAACTACTGAGCATAAAATGTCCTACTAAAACTTAAAACAGCACCAAATGCTCAGGTTAGTTTGCAGACGTTCTCTAAAGCAGTGTTTCCCAAACTTGTCTTAGTCGCACTGCCTTTTTTCAATTAATATTTTTTCCACAGTGTCATAACCTAAGTAAAAGTATGTTAAATTGTATGTTAAAAGATTGGTTTCAAGCCCCTGTCAGTTATTAACTCTTACATATATAACAATAAAGGAGGTTGAGATAAGAATGCATATTTAATTACTAATGAAGTTGGGTGCTGAATGAATTAATATAGGTTCCACAGGGGGGGGGGGGGGAATAACCAGCCACTCCTGTAGTCTTTCTTACGTACAGTTATTAAAAAAACAGTTTTGAGATATCTTAGATGAGCTGCTTCAACACAGATTTTTAAAAAATGCAGGAATTATAAAGGGACTGAAACCAGTCATACAGTTGATAAAAGTGCAGCAGATGAGATGGTTTGCCCAAATATCCAACAAGAATGCCCTGGTATCAACTGCCACAGAGTCGCGTTGAAGAATGTAATGAACACATGGAAAGGTGAAGACCACGCAGAAATGGAATGATAGCATCTAGGATAGCTGTAAGGAAAGGAAGATGAGTTATGCAGTGCATTAAAAAAGAGCACACAGACAGAAACATTTGTGGACAGAAAATTGATTCTATTATATGTAGTTTACGTAAGGGTTATTACCAGGTGAGCCCAGTATTGCCTTGTGGGGGGGGGGGGGGGGGGG